CCCTCCTGTTGGCTGCAGAGGATTGAGACTAGATGAAAAGGCAAGGGAGGGGATGCAGACTTTCATCATCTCCTCAGCTGAGGCTTCGAGGAGAAATGAAAAACAGTATCAGTATGTGCAATCACATTCCTACTTACACTTGAGCAGTAACCCTTCCTTTCATCCCTAAAAGGGTGCCAAGATCCACTGTGAGGCTTTTATTTTGGAAATATATACATTCAGCACTGTGGATGCAAAAAGATGATGCTGGGTAATGAGAAAAGGGGATAGAGGATGGCATTTTTCCAATGACAAAAAGGAGAACCTTGCTGAGACCTGAGTGGTGACAGGAAGGAAATACCAGTCTGAACATCACATCTAGGGACTGCTCTAAGTTAAACACCATTCAAAAGCAAAAAACCTCTGATACTAGCAGTGTTAAATCATATCTTCAGATTATCACAGTTTAAAATGAAAATGATTATTCATTGTGGTTAACACTTAGAGTGATACCAGCACCAATCACTGAGGTTTGCACAAGTCTACGTGGCAAACTTCTCACGCAGGAAAGCCATAGGAGACTGGCCATCTTTGCACCCAAAACAAGCCCCTAACAGTTTTTTGCTCTAACCTGAAGACATACACTAAGAGATGTTTTGGATGACACCCTAAGCCACGGTTTATCTCCCCGTGCTGCTTGAGACACACAGCCATCTGCAGCCCTACAAACACACGTCAGCACAGGGTGGTTGTCCCACGTCAGATACTAACACCTTGACAGTCTTTACCCCAAGGCAGTGAAGGACAACTATTTCTTGGGGCCAGGATTGGTGCCCAATGCACTTTAAGGCTCTGCTCTGCCTTCTCAGCAGCTGTGTGCACACTCAAGAGAAAGAGGGTCCTCCTTCACCCTAAAAACAGCAATGACCTTCAGTTATGAGCCTTATTCCTTCTGCATTTGGTCTCCAAGCCAGCAGCAGTATTTTTAGATGGATGATGAATAGATGTCTTGGAGCATTATGCAGTCAAATATAACATAAATTTTTGTGGATTGCAAACATGCATATAAAGAAGTTAGGAAAAATATTCAAAGGTCAAAATGCAGTATCATGGGATTTCTCCACAGCAAAAGCTCTCCCTAATGTTCCTGTCTTTTTACTACTCAGTCTACTTATTTTTTTTTACATCTGAAAGGGAAGAAATGAAAGAGATGTACTAGAAAATCCCAAAAACTTTCTGAAAAAAACCCAAACAGATCTACTCCCTTTCTCTGCTAGGTCAGGTCTACAAATACAGGAATCTTCAAGGAAAAAAAAATAGGGGGAATAAAAAGAAAAACAAAAGTCCTGTGAAATATTTTCTCTAAGATTCAACAGTGAAATACTGTCAGACTACTGTTTAAAATCCTATTATTTTTTGCTGTGCTTCAGTTCTTCCCAATGTTGTCTATATAATAAGCACTTCAAATGAAATTACGTTATTTTAAAACACACCGTAGTAGGCAATTACAATTGCTGAATACTAAATGCCAATATAATATAGACCAGATTTATTGTTGTTCCTTAACTTTCTGCCATGTTCATTATATTTTAATGAATAAGGTTTCACATTAATTTTTTAAGCCTTTGCCTTGGAATCATGCATTACTGCTGTAATTGTGGTGCAGAATTAGGTGTCTATTTACATTCTCCTCCGAAGTCCTGGAGACAAAACCTCCCTTTTTTTTCCCCCCTAAGTCAGCAACATTACCTCTTGTTCCTATTTTCTGGAGAGAGCCCCATGGCCAGTGGCACTGCCTCACCTGGCCACTGCCAGCCAGGCCGGGTCCCAGTGAGGACCAATGCCTGCTGCCTGCTGAGCCTGGAGATGAGAGCAGAAGCACCAGGCGAGCAGGATTTGGCAGGACCAGGGCAGCATCCACGAGTCCTGTTGCACCTGTCTGACTAGGAGGACTCTTCAATGGCAGCATCACCAGATGGTGCTGCCCTCCCCATCTGGTTGTATCTGCCATCCCACCTTTCCTCAGTTTTCTCCTACCTTCTGTCACACCCAGGGAGACCCAGCTTACCTGAATGGTCTTTTCTAACACACTGACAATACATGAAAAAACAAAGGGTGCAGACACACAAGGACCATCATAGGTAGGGCAAGGTAAAGGTACCATATGATACAAGGCTTTTTACCCTGTGAATCTTTTCTTCACCTAGGACAGTCTGTAAAGAAATTAGAAGATGTGAGCAGAAATACAGGTGCTGGGCAGAACACAGGTCTCATTTGCAAGCTGTTGTCTTCCATGGGACAGATTTGATTCCCTGGTCTCAAAGCCTCCAGCAGCTCAGCAGCTGGTCACATTGCTCCATGCAAGGATGCTGGGTATAACTGAGACGAAGGGAAGCCTTTCCTCTGCACACAGACACTTGTTAATTCCAGTTATTCTGTGTACTTACAATACTTTAATTATTCATGTCAATAAACTATAGGAAATCTCATTCAATTAGAATTGCTTTTTTAAATATTTTTTTCCTGAGATAAAATTAAATTGCTTTATTACAAGATTAGTCTTGCCCTTGTTTTTGTGCTCTTTTGAAGTGAACAGAAATAAAATCCTGGTTCCTGGGATATTGCAAGCTGGTGGGAAAATGCAGACACATGCCTGGGGACTACTTCCTCTGCTGGTCCACAAGCCGAGTTTCTGTCCTTGTCATCCACTTCTGGTTGCCATCTCCTCCTCCCTCCTCATGATCTTCTTCTCAAGTGCTATCCTCTTAATTCCCTCCTATCCAGAGAGTCTCCCTCATCACCTTTATTCACTCCCTCAAAAGCAGGCACTTTTCCCTATTCAATCTTTCCCTCATATCTCACTTTCTCCATGGCACTGCCTGCCATATCCTCTTTCTTCTCCACAATGTCCATTCCCCTCACACCACCAGGGCAATAATAAATCCTCCTTTGCCTTCTGCCTTCATGCTTTTATGATTCCCAGGTGATCTTGCCATCTCCTCTCCACTGCTCTGTACTTTTGCCCCATGCTGTGGTTCCCCACCCACCTCCATGGCAGAGGCTTTGCTGTGACCTCTGGCTCACTGCTGATGCCAGAGACAGACACACAAGCACTGAACAAAGAGCAAACCTACTTGTATCCCCCCACTGCTCCATTCTCCTCCCACTTCATGATTTTTCCTCAAAACTCACGAGCATTTTGCCCACCAACATGCTGCAACTCCTTCCACATTTCACAGCTCAGTTTTGAACTCTGCACCGGCACTGCTCTACAGCAGTGATTTCTACCCAACTGAGCATATCAAGCCTTGCAAGCTTTGCCAGTTACTGCTCCTCCCACTGCTGCTTCCCTGACATGCATCTGCTTGCAGCAGCCAGGGAGGATCCCTCGAGCTGGCCACAGGGCTTTTTGGAGGGCTACCAGCCTGCTGGATGTGCCAACCTCTCTGACAGCTGCATCCAACTCCCACTGGAGTGCTCTGTTCTTCTACCTGGCCACCCTGAAGAGTGTTTTGCCTCTGTTTGCAGTCAACAGATGTACCAACCAAGCATTTGAATCTAAGGTAGGACACTTAGAGGTGATAGAGTTCAAACTGTAATATGGGATGAGGTGCTCTATCTAAGAAGTCTGGCTTTTTGGGTTGAGTACAAAGGTCCAAAAAAATCCAGAATAAAAACCTCACCCATCATGAAATACCACAAATTACTCATATATTAAACCCCAACCATATGAACTGTAAGAAAGAGAGCTGTATCATGCATAATTTAGTTGGCACACAGACAGTACTGTTGTGGGTTTCATGCACGTGAAATAAATGAGCATAAATTACTTCATTTGAATAACACCAAACACCTGATTCCAGAGACGGAGCAACACTTCACACTAAGGCTCTTGGCACCAGAGCAAACTAAAATTAGCAAGCTGAAAGCAGAAATTCACCCTGTGTCTTGTAGACAAACATCCTTGGTGCATCCACATCATGGCCCATGAACAGGAGGAGCTGAACTATGATGATAGGATGGAGCTACAGAGGAGACTCCCATTGATACAGGAAGTTTCAAAAAATGCACACACAATTCATCAATAAGAACAGCAGTAAGTTGGGTAGGCTATATCTTCATGGATTTGAGTATTTTCAATTTCTCCCCAAAATTTCGTAACAGACCTCAGGAAAAAAATAGTTGATAGTATTTCTCACAAACCTCAGGAAAAAAACCCCACTTTTTTTGTCTGAATGATTCTGTTTTCCCACACATAGCTTCCTGTATCTAACTAGACCACAAACATGTGATTGGAATGCTTCTCTCTTAAGAAAAAAGAAGTTTAAATAAAGCACTTCTGGTAATTTTACCTCCATGTCACATAAGGATGCATATGACCTTTGCTTCCTACCATTTATTAGTGCCAAAAGCCAAGTTTTCAAATTTTGACAAGTATCACAGATTCCCGTATTTCTCAAAAAGTTATTTGATTAATAGCAAACAATTATTCTTTCAGGAGTGAATTCCTCTGCTGCAGGTTAGAGTTGTAGGGCTGGAGAAGGAAAGGCAGGTAAAGGGATCTTCTCTAACAAAGAATGAAGTAGATCTGCCTTAAAGATGTGACAACATTTCCTTTACTTTTTGCAGCCTTCAGCTTTCTGCCTGCCCATCATAAAACAGACATTCCACTGAAATGAGACAGGATATCAATACAAGAGACACTTGCAAATCTGGCCAGGCTGAGAGGTACTCTCAAATACAACACAGGGAAGATGGAATAAAGCATCTTTCACCTTTAAAACTGAGAGCAATGTATGCAAACAAGCCATAGGCATTGCTACAAGTCTGCACAACACTTCTTTCCTCCTATAGTTTCAGCTTCATGAACTAACAATGGAGCATGAACACAGCTAGATCTGCCCAACATCTCCAACATTATGCAGCCCCCTCATCTCTCCTCAGCAGAACCGGGCAATGCACTTAGCTTTGCTTTACTTCAAGGAAAGAAATCCAAACATGTTCAACAGCCTGGTACTTACTGAGCTCAGCGATGCTCCCCACACGTGTGGCAAGCAGAGACTGTTCGATGGTCCTCAGCTCTGACTGGCTGAACATCTGCACCTCCCCGGGCTTGTTTGACCTTTGCTGGTCCTTGTGAAGGTTCAAGCTGTCTGGCAGGCAGAGAACACCTACGTTGGATAAAAAGAAAGGAGAAGCCAAATATAATTTCAGCTAGTATGGTAACTTTGCTGCCACCACCACATTGTTTTGGGGACATTCCAAGACACAGCTTGCATGTGCAGAGCTGGAAGACAACCAACATCTGTAACACAATGTCACCGAAGACTCATGCAGAAGTGGCCCTTGTTAGCCCTTCTGAATATCTTCAAGCTGATTACAATGTCATCTCGGGATAATTCTTACAGAAAAACCTAGGAGGACTGCTCAAGGCGGAGTTCAAGAAAGTTTCAAAGAAGCCTCCAAGAAACTACTCTAAACCTACACAAAATTATTAGAAAATGGTACCTAATGGTATCTCAGAATTCCTAAAGATTGGCTTTCAAATTATATAGGAGACAGACAACATATTTACAGCTTTCTCCTGCAAGGGGATTTCACTGTCAATTGCCAAAATAAGGGACAGCATCAAGATGCTGTAAGTGTCATTGACGGCTGATTGAATTTCTTTTGTAAATACAGCTTCCAGCAATTGAACTGCTTGGGCTTCAAAAGCCCATTATGCAGAAGCCCTTAGAGCAGTGAATTTTTATGGTGCAGGGCAAAAATAAAGCTACTGACATAAAATGATTTACATACACATTCATTCAGGCACAAAAGTCACTTTCTGCCATGACATGTAAACCCTCAGGAATAGATGGAGGGCATCTATTTATTCACCAAAATCATTGTCATGCTAAAAATCAGAATGTATTTACAAGAGCAAACACTGCATTACCAGCCTTGGACAACAGCTGCATTGGTCCAGCTTGGAGAGCAGGCTCTCCTCCCTTCCAGGCTCTGTGTACAGTCAGGTCTGGCTATGCTTTTCACAGCATCACCTTCCTAATCCCTCTGGGTCATATACAGGTGGAGAGCCACTGGAGGCAGTGGAATTGTACCTCTTTATGATGATTAAATATCATTTCATCTACAAATATTACCTTTGAAAACAAGCTAGAGTAGGAAATTTATTTTTTCCATTAGCTTTTACTACTCCTTTCTTTAAATACAGTGTAGGTTCTGCCGTTATGGGCCAAGCAGACTTTGCAAAACCCATTAAGGAAGAGGTACATATTTAATGTTTTTCTTCAAGGGAAGAATTTGCTTCGTTTCCGAGCTCAGTAAATATATGACACCCAACTGTAATGACCAATAATTCTGTCAGTAGATTGATAGAACTGTCAACGGTTGGACCACTGCAGGTTCAGGAAATGCACCTGAAAGGAAATGCTTCTCAGAGATCTTGTTAGCTTCACCAAACCACTTTGGATTCCCCTCCCCACATCTATCTCCTCCCTGCAACCAATTGAGTCTGCAAGTTATATTTGCAGCATGGACCTAAAAACATCCATCCTGGGAGGAGAGAGGTGACACAGGTTCAATGAGCCCATTCCAAAGAAAAAAGCAGGGGTTTACCCTGGGAAAACCAAGACCAAAGGTCTTGTCCACCACGGCCTTGAGACAGCAGCCTAAACTAGGATCACCCTCTGCATGCAGCAGTGGCACAAGACTAAAACCCCCAACAGCCTGTTCGAATCCTGGAGATGGATGAGCAGGAACACGTAATTCCCAGCCCCTGGCCCTGGTCCAGGCTTGTAACAACGCCATGAATGTGTAGAAGGTCATGAGAGAGTAACACAGCTCGTAAGAAAGTGCCCTGGAGAGAAAAGAGCAGGGCACCTGACACAGCACTGGGGAGGGAACAATTCAAAGCCAAGAGGTAAGGGAATAAAAGCAACAACAGCGTATCAAACAAGCTCTTCCTATTTTCCTGCCATCACTCAGTGGCTGACTCTCATAAACACTTGGTGCACTGATCAGCATTTATATTCCGTGGATGTACAGAGCTTGGGAAGTACAACACCTGCATTTAAAATGCAGGCTCGCCTGCATATTTTAGTAAGTATTCTCTCTCATTTTTTTTAGATTCTTCTTTATCATTTTAATGGATAGAAATTAAGACCAAATTGGAAGAGTCTTCCCTGCAGAAAACAGATGTAAAAATGATCTAATATTCTAAGAGATTTCTAAAAACAAGAAATAGAGCACAATCAGCTTTATGGCATCTTTAAAAAATGAATTGGATAATTTTTCTACAAAAACACACCTTAAGTGCAGAGAAAAAAAATACTGTTTTAAGATAACTATACAAATAAAATTCAAATGGTTTAAAACTATTAATTATATACAGAAGATATTTCTCCAAGTGATTGATGCAGTGGGATATAAAAATTTTATTCTCTACTTTGCCTATGATTCTGTTCCCACAACTAGGCCTTTTCCTTACAAACAGCCCTAATGATTAATTACTCTTGTCTTTAGTGAGGGAAGCATATTCTTAGGCTCTTGGAGAGAAAAGCACCAATGAAATGCAAAATGAGCTATTGTTAGAAAACTTAACAAATTATAGGATGTGTCATGCCAAAGGGTTACACTTGGGCTGGAGATTAGCAGAGACACACAATAGCCAAACATCTGATTCTTATATCAAAACTATAATTGACCAGAGCGAGTGACCAGTGGGGTGATGGAAGATTTGTTTGTAACTCATAATTTTGCTGGATCAAATCTCGTTTTCACAAGCATGGAGAAAATGAATTGTATGGCTTGGGCATGCAACTCAGCCAATCTTCTAGCTTCAACTGTTTCCCCCAAAAATATTAAAGCAAGTAAAATGCTTTTTAGAATAAAAACTCCCTCTCTTTTTATCAGTGTTTGATGTACAGCTCAAATTTTCTGATGAAAGGCAACAGCAAGGAAGAAGAGAGCACTGAAGGGGAGGAGAAAAATACAAACACTTTGTGATTATAAATATCTTTTTTTATAGATAGAAAATGCTAAAAGGCCACCATCATCTTTCACTGGTTTGGCTACAGTTCAACTTCCTTATTTTCATTCTCTGCCAATTGGTATTATTCACTTGCTTTTTCAGCCTTATTGTGTACTGAAGGTGAGGACCTCAAGTTTCCAAAGGCCTGAAAACCAGGAGTTTTTCCCCATTCCTTTTCTGGCTGTCAGTGCCAATTCTATCTGTCATTCCACACTAAAGATTTCTGTGCAGTATCTTCAGATATGAACAGTGGTACCTGCCTTTTCTCTCAACTGGCACTGTTCAATGTCCTCCCTTCCAGCATGGTTACTCAAGCCTGTGCTCTTCTTTGCCCATGATTTTAGCTCTCTTCCTGCCTTCTTCATTCGCTGGAATGGCAGTGAAGCAGTCAGCAGCTGCCCGATGAATCCCGGGCCAGCCTCCATCGCGCATCCCTGTCTGCTCCGTGCCACCCAGCAATGCACCAGCCACAGCCCAGCTGCTGGGAAGTGCTGCAGCAAGGCAGGACGGCCAAAGCACTCCGTGTATTTGGGTTTTGTCCCCTCTTTTGGTGCTTCCCCTTGTCTCTGCACCCTCCCTGGGGCATGGATCTGCCCAGGACTTGACTGCATGGGCCATACCCAACACTGCTGTATTCACTTTGCCCTGGGCCTCAGAGTATCCTGCAATCTGCAGGTGAAAGACTGAAGAGAAATCATACATTTTAAAATCAGCAGGAGGCCAAAAAAATGACAGTGATAAGCTCCTAATGCTCCCCCCACCAAATCTCAAGAGAAAAAGCAACATCATAGAGAAAATCTGATGCACAATTAATACATTTCACATTTCCCTGCCTTCTGGGCCCAGCTAAAGCACAAGCCAGAGCTCAATCCCTAAGGACTTAAAAATCCCAAACCAAGTACTGCACAAAATGAAGGTGTCCAGACTTTTTATATAAAAGGAGCAGTTATTTTAAACCTTCATGCAAACTCATCCAGAGATTGGGGCACCGGTTAATTCTTCCAGCTTCCCCATGCACATTCCCACCTCTTGGGCTTAGCTGATGCACCACCCTGCACCGCAAAGCAGATTTTGGCACAAAAATACATGCTTTCCTGCATACTTCTTTCAGAGCTTGCCACAGAGCTGACCAATGCTGTCCTTGCAGCATTGAGTGCATCACACAAATATCCCAAACTCGGTGCCCAGCAGCAGTCCCAACAGAGCTCCTCAGTGTCTCCCCAGCAAAACAGCCTGAAGGACCTGAGAGCCAAGAGCAACCCCAACACAAGACACAGCAGCCACTGTGTGACCTCTTACAGCTTTTCAGAGCAGGAGAAATACAGGGGTTGTAGACCAAACTTCACCTAAATACAGAGGACTCATTTAAAAAAACATTTTTGAAAATCTAAGCTCTACTTAGAGCACTTGTATACCAGCTCTTGCCCAAACAATTCCTGAAGTGATGGCACCTATGGTGCCCGTACCTCAACTATTGCTGAATTTTTTTATATATATATATATATATATATATATATATATATATATCTGTACATAAAGGGATAGAACAAGGCAAGTGAGAAGTGTGCCCTGCCTATATTTATGGGTCAGCAATATCTAATGTCATCCAAATCTCAAATTCTTTGCCTCCTCCCTCTCCTTTAGTATTCAAATCCCATGCTCTAAACAACACAATTTTTCAATGGCATTAAATTAATAAAAACGCCCACTGAACAATGTGATTCAAATTGACCTATGGCTGAGTAATCTAGCAGATACCTAATACAAATGTGTTTGCTGTCACTAAAAACATAAGTGCTGTAAACACCAAAAATACTTTTTTCACATTACACCATTCATTCCTTTGGAAAGATTGCCAGACTTCTTTATACCAATTTAGAGTCTGAATAGAAACATGAATGCTTTGCTGCTCTCTTGTTATTTTTCTTTAAGTGCTACTAATTTCAAGAGAAAGTAATTCAAATAATCTTTTACCTCCCTCTTTATCTATTACATCTTAAGCAAATGTATATATCTGGAGAAGAGTTAATACTCCCACTGCAAGGAATAGCTGGATCCTACTAAGAGCTTATAGAATTTAAGTGTGCAAGATAGATATAAGGCAAATTGCTATACAAAATGAGCCTGAAAACGGTAGTT